GAGGTTCCGCTACGTACGCGGGTACGTATAAAGGCTTAGGTACCTCTACCACTATCCACATGAAAATCTAATCACGACAACCCCCTACGAGCGCGCGCCTCGCGTTACGAACCGCCAATGTAACTAAACTAACGAAATTGAGTTAGGCACCGCGCATCGCTGTGCCGCAACTCCTCGTCAAACTAAATCCAGTGCGCCCCTCTTCTGTGTTCGCGCGCCCCGCATGTCAGGGCCACCGTCAGAACGAGCCTCTCGACTTAACCGGGACTTAAAATGATTTTCGCGATTCCGAGACTCGACGACGACCCCCCTCCCTCCCCTCTCCCCCGGCTTATCGATCCGCCGCGGATTCTCCGCGGGAGGAATAATCGATCGACAGCCTCCACACGTACGTACGTATAAATACCGCGATAATTACGCGGTATTCGCGGGCGAGAATATCCGGCGCGGGTCTATTTTTCTAGCTGCCTAAGGCAAACACACACACGGCCAAGTTATATTTATCAAAATATTGTGATAAATGACGCCGGACGAGAATTGACCGTGCGGCGAGCTGTAGTAAAATCGCGTCCGCGGAAATAATCCATTTTTCGTAAGCCACCTGAAAAATGAAACATTCTGACAGACTGTTTTAAAGATTTTTATAATGAAAGTATTGCTTATTAAATGAAGCCATTTTAGACGGCTCCATTTTGTAAACTCACGTCGGAATAGACTTCTATTAGTGATTTTACAAATTTTGATGAAAATGTGTATTTTAATACATCTTTTCAAATTCTTCTTTAAATGTTTTTCATTTAAAGTTTACTTTAGATACAAAAATCTGCAAAGATCTGAGGCTGATGTTTTAATTTATACTTTTTCTTATGTATCAATATATATTTTTTACATGTGTATGGTTTTTTAATTATTTTCCGTACGGCACATGGAATCACAAGAAAAAAAATCATGAATATCAAGTTCCCAAGTAAAAAGGAAACAAAAAGGTAAATAAAACACCAAATTTAGAGTATTAAACGTCGAATTCTTTTATTTTAAATTATGAATTCGTCCAAAGAGTGTTTTGCATGTGGCATATAAAATCACAAGCAGAATTCTATCCGTACTTCCGTCACGAATTACAGCAATTAAATTTCAGCAATAATTTCTTTAAGAATCAACCGCATCTTCAAAGACACAACGTTCATTGTCTCGAAGACGTCGAGGGCGCGCGAGGGTGGTGGTTCGTCGGCATTGGCGAAAGGGTCATTATAATTGGGAGAACAAAGGCGTTCGTCAAGAAACGAAATCCCGTTAGATTATCCCGTAGTATCGGGCTTCGTACGGTAGGAAATATCGGCATTACCTTGTTGACCGAAAACCCGAAACTTAGGGTCAGTCCGACGAGTCGGGCCATTCCGCCTCATCCCGATGGACTTACGAGATTAAGCGGTTCGCGCGCGAGTTTGATCGAGTCTTCTAAGTCCTTTCATTACGGTGCTGCTGGGGAGCGTAGGATTATTATTACGGTAAGAAGTAGCCCGCGTCTTGTTTGTTAAACGAGGGGAGAAAAGAAGGCGCAAAAGGGGTCGGCGGGACCGATGGCTCAATGCGTATGCCGCGTGAGTCACGTATCGCTGATCAATCGAGGATACCTTTCTCGATAAATATATGCCGATCGTAACTGTTGTCGGCGTTGCGTTACTAAATACTTGTTCGAGGAGGTTCTTGAATCCCTGATTAATTCACGAACGAAGAAAGCAGACTCTGGTGCGAAAAATTTCCTCCGTTTTCGGACCGCATTTTCGTGTCGATTAAAATTGGAAAATCGACTTTCTCAAGAAGCAAATGGAAAGATTTCTCTTTAAATGAAAAAGAAACGGAAAGGATGAAATTTGTTGTAACAATTTTTCTTTGATTTTCAAATTTTGTTAATTACTTTAATTTTATTCCACAGATACGATACAATTTGCATCAATCTAATGATAAAAGCGTGGCATTTAAAAACGCCGATTATGAACCGCAAGAAATTAAATTTAAAAAATAATAGAAAGCGTACTTGTGCATTATTATTATGGTTAGATATTATTTTTTTTTTCAGATGTGCTATTATCTTCATTAATGTTATCTTTATTCGCAGGTGCTAACCGAGTCAGATCATCGTCGAGTGCCGCGATAGACCATTTCGAAATTCATCAAGGTACTCATATATTACAGGTAAGTTTTTTTTCTATTTGCCATTATAAGCAAGTAACGCATTTATCAAACTACAGTATCTTTAATTTCGATATCTTTTTTCAAATCGTGTTGTACATATTGTCACAAACATTATAAATCTTTCTAATAAAATCGGATAAATCCTTTAATCAAATTTAAGTTATACATACAAAGTATAAAATATAAGTATATAAAACAGCAAAAATTTGCCATCTTTCTCAAGAGAAACTATAAATGTTTAGAAGGTGGTTTCGCGTTTATCGTTTTGGAATATTTCTAAAGTTCCTAAAGTGTCTCGTATTTTCTGTCGCCAGTCCCTGGACGGCTTCGCAATGGCTGTCGCGGCTGATGGCAGATTCCTATACATATCCGAGACCGTTTCGATATATCTCGGCCTCTCACAGGTAAGCGCGACTCGTCTTCGCGGCGGTCAACGTCGACGAGATCGGAAACGCGGGGGTCCAGGGGTTGCGTAGGGTGAAAAGTGATAACGATAACGAGAAAGCGAAAGCGAGTAAAAAGTAACGCGGGCGTGCCAAGCGCGAATGCAACGTGTACCGTCAGCCGGAAGGCCAGAGATAGTAGAAAAGTATAAAGACACGGCAGGGGAGGGGGAGAAGGGGAGAGAAAAGTTGACGGAAGAGAAGGAGGTTGAAACGTTGAAGTTGTAGCGATGGTGGTAGCGGCGGCGGCGGCGGCGGCGGCAGCGGCAGCGGCGGTGGTGGCGGCGATGACGGTGGTAGTGGCGATGGTTACGGAGGTAGCGAAAGAGGAGGAGAAGGAAA